GGAAGAAGTAGTTTAGTTTCCACATTGTAAATATGAATAAGAGAAATGTAATGAATATCTTACCAGTTTTTTTATATATACCAAGGATTTGTGTTTGAAACTTCTAATTTATACAAAAAAAAAGCCAACTCTTAAATTAATTTTTTTAAATGTAAATTACAAATAAAAGAATATGTATAGCGCAAACTTGCATTTTCATAGCCCTTAGTATTAATAAATTAGTAGTAATTATATAAGGAATAAAAAACATTTTTTTACCTATCTCTCTTTTTGTAATAATCATGTTGCAATCACAACCAAAAATCTCAGAAATCAGCAGTAAATTTCCAACAGTAGAAAGTTTCAAGGAAGCTGCTCAATAAGGTGATAAAGCAGCAGGTTTCGCTTTTAGTGTATCATCATCAAAAATAACATGTAGTGAAAAAGGTGGCCATACTTCTTTTGTTACTCTGCAGTGTACAATGGAAGGCAAATATAGAAATAACTATGAAGTTACAGAAAAAACCTGAAAAAGAGTCAAATCAACAAAGCGCCAAAACTGCCCTGTTAAATTGCATGCTGTTTTAGATGAGAAAGCTGGAGTTTGGGTAGTATGATTTTCTAAAAATCAACATAACCATAAACTTCTCTCAGAATCACAAGTTCACTATTTTTATCAATATCGAATTCTTAACCCAGAACAGAAAGAGATAGTTCATATGATGCTTAAAAGTGAGGCGCCAGTTCAGTCAGTTGCTGATGCAATATATTGAAAACATGGAACCATATATACAAAAGATATTGTTAATAAATGTGACAGAATTAAAAATGCTTTGAATGAAGGATCAAATCATGATATGACTATATATTTTATACAAATGTTGAAAGAGCATCAATACGTAGTTCATCATGTATTATCAAAAGATGGTTCTATAGAAATGTTGGATGAATGTTTTCACAAAATATTATCCACATATAGGGGTTCATTCAACACAAAGAGCAGAAGAAAGCCATGGCTGTTTAAAAAAGGCAATAGAAGCAGCAAGTGGGCTAGATCAAGTATTTTTACATATTAACTGTGCCTTTCATCAGTATCAATTAAAAAAAAATAGAGCATTTGGTTTAAATATTGTTTCTGTTGACCCATTTATACTTAATAATGAAAGATTTGAACAATTGGTTGGAAAAATTTCGAAATGGGCAATTGATCGAATTAAAAGAGAAATATGTGAAGCTGAGGAAAAAAACAGTAATAATGTATATAATAATACTTGTGAATGTAGCTTGAAATTAAATTTTAAACTACCATGCCGCCACACAATTCCACTAACAGGGCCTATTCCACTTTCTATAATACATTCCCGCTGGCTCCTAAAGTATGATTCAATATCCATATTGTCTTCATCCTTGTTGCCTGATATAGCTATTAATAAGGCTTTATATATGTTAGAAGAAAAATATAGAAGCTTAAATAACTGTAGGTCAAAAGCTATGCTTTTGAATAAAATCAATACTCTAATTGATGAGAAAATAGTAACTTCAAAAGCACTATTACATATTGAAAATAGGGGCTGACCAACTTCTACTAAGTGTGATCTTTTACTTAGTAAACGTCAAGATAAAGCTGCTAAAAAAAAAGAGAAAAATGCACCTAAGCTTATAAAGGATTTGCAAAAATCACACCAATCACAGCAACTTTTATATGCATGAGCATATAAAAAAGGTAATTAATGTGGATGGAGATGATAATTGTGGCTACAAAGCACTAGCAGTATATTTAAAGAAAAGTGAAAGTAAATAGTCAAAGATACGAAAAGAATTGCAAAAAGAGTTGATTGAAAATGAACAATTTTACTGGACCTTGTTTTTAGCCAATAATGATTATGAAGCAATTATGAGAAAAATCTCATGGGTATATAGCCTTGCACATTCGAGCACTGGATGCAAATGCCACAGATGGGAGATATTATAGCTAATGCATACCAAAGGCCATTATACTTTTTTTCACTATAAATTAATCTTACTTTTCTTCCACATTACCAACCAATGAAGCTCTTGCAATAGCTATTGTTAATGATAATCATTATGTAGCTATTATATTAAAACCTGGTGCTTCCATACCTCCAATTATAAATCAATAGTCACAATTTGCTACCCCAACTGCAGAAAGATGGAAGCTACTAATTCAAAACTGTATTGACCAATTTCTTTCAATAAGTAATACAGGGGTTCAAATTATTATAATAAGAATTAGAGGGTCTAATATATCTACCCAAAACTTTTATGAAAATTGATTATATTTTTAAAAACTTTTATATGTAACATGTGTTCGATTTTTGTGTAATATTTTTTTGGTTGATCTATTTATATTAGAAATGATCTACGTTTACCCTACCCTTAAGGAGAAAAAGCCAGGAAATTTTTCTTTTTTTAAACTTATCATGAAGGTTTCTTACCAACTACATAACTAAATTAAATGAAATCTTTTTCATTTTATTTCTGCAAATGCATAGAATTAAAATAAAAAAAATTTTATCTAATTTGGTTAAGTGGTTCTTGAAAAATCTTTATCTAAAGATAAATAAAAAATTTAGCTACAGTTTCTTTTTTATAGACGTTTAACTTTGAATGAAGTTTTCTTGATAACTACCTATCCAAATTCAATAAAAATTTTTTTATTATAATTCTATGAGCTTATAGAATTAATATAAAGGATTTTTTTATTAAATTTAAATAGGTGTTATCAAGAAAACTTCGTTCAAATTTAAATGTCCATAAAAAAAAAGCTGTGGCTAAATTTTTTATTTATCTTAATCTAGATTTCTAGTTAACCGTATGTTGACAAATTTAAACATTTATTAAAATGCTAACTTGATGTGTTTCAGTTATTTTTTTCTTTTATAAATAACTAAAGATTTAGCAACTATATATAAAATTTAATAAATATCATTAGTTGTCAAATTATACTAGCACTAGTATATACATATTTTATTTGTACTTAATTCAAGTATAATAATTCTGTTGCAATAATAATCAATATTTTTTAATTTTTAAATTTCATTGCTACTACTAAATTGCAATCATATTATCTAAAAAGAGTTAAAGTTTTTTTCTTAGCTAGCATGTAATATATTTAATATATCGATATAGTAAAATAGTAAGAAATTTTTTTACTCAACA